CAAGTGGACCTTACATTTTATCACATTTAAGTATGAACTAAATACTGCAATATATTTTTGGTATCTTTTACTTCTAATATACAGTACATGAAGTTTAATAAAAAGTTGTAGTAATTCACATATACAATACTGCTAAATACAATACCTGCACTGTAATAACAATGTACAGGGGTACCTCGGTTTAAGAGTTTAATCCGTTCCTGTAAACAGCTCGTATTCCGAAAACTCATAAACCGAAGCTAATTTCCCCATGAGAAATAATGGGAAATGAATTAATCTGTTTCTGACTACCCAAAAACCTCACTTTAAACTATATTTTATACCTAATTCATATAAATAAGCCTACAAAACTATGTTCAAGTTATTACTTACCCTTGCTGATGAATGCTGTAGGTGTATGGAAGATGGTGAGGAGGGGGGGAGGAGGAGAGGTGTTACTGTTTGGAAGGGGAGTCCCCTTCCATTATAACATCAGACAGTGAGGACCTCTCTGGGGTGCATTCTCTGGCACGTTTTGCCTGCATACCACTAGGTCCTGGTTGTGGCTCACTGCTCAATTTTCTCGCAACAAATCTGTCCATGGAAGCTTGTTTTTCCCTTCTTTCACAAGATGTCTCTGTAGTGAGGCATCACATTGTCATTGAAAAGATTAAGGCAATGCCCTACTACAACTTTCTCTGGGTGAGTCTTTTCAATAAAAGTTTGCATTTCTTCCCACATCTGACACCACTTCTTAATGGTTGCAGAAGGGACATTCTGTACTGCCTCCTCCTCCTCCACTGGAGAAACATCCTCAGCTGGGTCTTTTTGCTGTTCCTTTTGAAGGGCTTGGAGTTCTTCAGTGGTCAGTTTTTCATTGTATTCTTCCACCAACTACTCCACATCATCACCATCCAATTCCAAGCCCATTTGCTGGCCCAGAGAAACAATTTCCTCAACAATAGGCACATCATTTACAGGCTCAAACCCCTCAAAGTAAAGTTCTGTCACACATTCAGGCCACAATTCTCTTCAGCCAGAGATCAGGGTTCTTTGAGTCGCTTCTTGCCAGGCTTTGTCAACGAGTTTTAAAGCACTACAAATGTTAAAATGGTCTTTCCAGAACTCTTTGAGGGCGAGTTTTGTGGCTTCAGTCACTCCAAAACATTTCCGGAAAAGTGCCCTTTCATAAAGTTTCTTAAAATTCGCTATGATTTTCTGGTCTATAGGGTGAATTAGAGGAGTGGTGTTAGGAGGAAGGAACTTTACTTTACTGTGAGAAATTTACTGTATCTGTGGAACAATTCATCTTCCAAGCCTGGAGGATGAGCAGGAGCATTGTCGAGGAGAAGCAGGGCCTTGAGTGGCAAATGTTTCTACTGCAGATATTTTTCTATGGCAGGGCACACCACTACATTCACCCACTCCGAAAAAAAAATCCTAGTCACCCATGCCTTATTATTAGCCCTCCACATCACACACATTTGGGTTTTCCGCACTTTATACTATTTGAAAACCCTTGGATTTTCAGAATGATACACTAGCAAAGGTTTAATTTTCAAATCGCCACTCGCGTTTTGAACACAGCACAAGCGTAAACCTATCTTTCATAGACTTGTGTTCGGGCAATGATTTTTCCTCCTTGGTAATGTATGTCCCCTTAGGCAATCTTTTCCAGAACAGTCCTGTTTCATCACAATTAAAAACTTGTTGCAGTAGGTATCCCTCAGCCTCTGCAAACTCTTTAAATTCTTCAATAAACCTTTCAGTCGCTGGTTTGTCTGAGCTGGCTGCCTCCCCCATGCCTGGCAACACTTTGGACACCACTTCTTTTTCTAAATTTCTCAAACCATCCCCTGCTTGCCTTAAAATCTATCATATCTGCACTTGTTCCAGGGGTTTTCTTTACAAGGTCTTTGTGCAATACCCTGGCTTTCTCACAAATGATGGCCTCTGAAACACTATCACCCGCTAACTCCTTGTTGTGTATCCAAATTAATAACTTTTCCACTTCTTTGATTATTTGTGGTCTTTGTTTCGTGATTGCTCTTACGCCTTTTGCCACTTTAGCACTCATAATGTCTTTTTCTTGCTAAGTATAGTGCATATCGTTGACATGGCTTTGTTGTACTGCCTACAAAGTTTAACAACACATGTACCATTTTCATGCTTCTGAATGATCTCTTGTTTTTCATCTATTGTCATTCTCACATGCGCTTTCTTGCCTTGATCCTTACCACTGGCTTTCTTGGGACCCATGGTGAGATATATAATAACTTTTATGGTCAAATGGCCAAAAATCCAACAAAACACTGAAAATCCTGGTGAAGAATTCAGGTGGGATAGTCACTGGGCGCGAGGCACTGGTAAACTGAGGGGCAATCGCCGTACCACCACGCGCTAGGTCGGCCTGTACGCGTATCAACACCCTTGCCTTCCGAGGCAAATCCTGCTCGTATTCTGAAAAACTCGCATACAGGGACACTCGTATTCTGAGGTACCACTGTACAGTACAATATTTCAATGTTAATTATTGTCCTTATAAATGAACATAATTTTGAGTTAATACTGGAAGATTACATACACACACAAAACTCTACGTTCAGACATTTTCCTTCAAAATGAGGTGTCAATACATTATTCAGCAACACTTCCAAAATCCAGACCACAGTGTTCAGAAAGTGATCCAAATTTTCACAAAACTGCCTTTTTCTTAGCAATTTATCACAAAATTTTCAGGTTATCCTACAGCAAATTATATATGTTTCAGCATATTAATATAAAATAAAAATTTTGTGTATATAAATATGTATGAAATTAAATATAACAATTTGTGTACTTGCCTTTTTGTAGCACAAACTGGTCTTGATAACACACAGGCAGCAAAATGCAGTTATAGTACTGTGTCATGCCATATTTTAAGCTTTCACAGTCACTCTGAACTTGCCTTGATGTACTCAATAATTATGGTTAATACAATTTATTCCCTTATAAAGTGTAACTATTAACAACCAACTTCAGGCTACAATGCTGTGTGAATCATTGTTAAACAGCATCACCCACAGCCTCATGCTTAGGTTCTAATATTTTTTCTTCATGTCTTTCTCCATTTATTCACAAACTACAGACTGTCATCTCCTGCTTTTGCTTTTTATGCCAGAAACAGTACTAATACATATACCGCAATCACATTTCTCTCATAACTGCATTTTTTATCCGTGGTATGTACTTTCCTATTACCCTTGTCTGGTGTATCCATACTACTTTTGCCATTCAACACAACTTTAACTTGCAAATAATGATGTATTAGAAAAAAAGCCAGTGCAAATGCTTGACTAATGAGAGATCAGACCAAAATCACAAAAAGAAAACATATGGCCAATACACCTGCCTTCACAGTAGATTTGGTTGCCCCAGAACCCCGAGACCTTATCCCCTGCAGTAAAAACAAAAATGCAAATTAGTGCAACTGCAGCAAGCAGCAGCCTCAACAGCTTACTGTCTGCTCTATACAACCAGCCTGCCCAATAACCTGATACCAAAGCAAACATAAACCATGCCGACTAAGTGTGGATTATGGAGGACAGTCTCTCTCTTGCATCACGCCAAATAATGACCATAGAAAATGGAGGAAAGGCTGATAGATGAGAGCTACAATAGTTCAAGTCAATTTAAAGCATACTACTGCATATTCTAAAGTGACCTGAATAGAACCCAGATTCCTCTTACAAAGCAGAAAGAGTGGGTCTGGATTTGAAGCCCAACAATGTGTACTTACCTAACTTGCCGAGACCCAAAATGAGCCACCTCCCTCTCCTGTGTAAACAAAGGATGAGAAGATTCCAGAACTCTATGCAATACACTACTTACAAAAGAAATACCAATCTTCAACTAGACCTTGTGGACAACCTAAATTAAGGTAAACAGTACACATATAAACCTGGACATGAAGCTGTTATAACTCTATAGCACAGGACTGAGCATGATCCAACCACACCCTAAAAGCAACAAGGAATCCTCTACTAGCCAGCAATAGAAAGCTGAAACATTATATTAAAGCCTAGAAGCTGTAGTAGGTCTGCACATGAAGTACTCAACTGAGGAAAGAATCATTACCATTTCTTGTCAGAACCCAACTCCAGATACGAACCTAAAAATGGAAGGGGAGGGAAAAGGCAAGTCACCCAAAATTAAAGCAAAACAGCTTACTACATAAACAATATGACAAATGATCAGAAGTGGGTACCAACACTCCAAAACTCCTCAAAAACAGACCTGAAGGCTGGTGCCTCTAAAATTCCTGAGTGGCAGAGGCATCATAGGTCCTTTTGACTTTAAATTGTATACTCACTTAGTAGTGAATTAATGTGTGTGTGTGTGTGCGCATATGGCAGCTAGAATTATACTTAAAGGCTGCTAATAAATATCCACGCTATCAACAGGGTAGAATGACTTAAGTAAAAAATCTGTCACTAAATTTTACATTCATTCAAACTTATGTGACGTACAGTAATCACTCTTAGAATATTCTTTGATTTTGCTGCTCTACTGTGATTTTTGTATTACTTGCAAAGGCTCTCCCAATGCAGTGGAACCTCAGTACTTGTACCGCATCGAACTCGAACAATTCAACACTAATACTTTGTCCGTACTCTGTTGTTGACAGTTTGCTTGGCACTCAAACTTAAAACACGTAACGGATGAGTTGGTTTCCCAGTAGATGCACAACCCACTCAACTTCTCTGCAAATTTTCTCATGTTTTCTTGGATATTTTTTATATTCTTTGTGTAAATAAGTCACCATGGCACCTAAGTAAGTGATAACTAAATGAAAAGAAAATTAGTTAGAACCATGACAGGTGAAAAAACAACACACAGCAAAATATGAAAATGGGGCTCATGTGTCTGTTTTTGCTTCTGAGTTTGGCATGCTTGTATTCTTGTAAGAAAAGCAGCCAGTGAGTCTCAAGAGGGGGGGAGAGAAAAAAAAAAAAAAAAAAAAAAAAAAAAAAAAAAAAAAAAAAAAAAAAAAATCCAGACAATTCCCAGTAGGGGGACTTCCCTGCCAATCATCATCTCTCCTCCTCCTCTTCACCACATTACACATATGCCATCAACTCTCCTATGTGCAGGTGAAGTGAGAACAAATTTGCATCTTATTTAACATTCAAATATGTATTATTGTGGTTTGTAATGGATTAATCCAATTTACATTACTACTTATGGGAAAAAAATCATTCAGTACTCGAACAGATCAGAACTCAATTGGTCTTCAGGAATCAATTAAGTCTGATTACTGAGATCCCATTGTACTGTACTTAAAAGACAAACTAATGTGTTCCCACAAATTTTCGGTTGGCACATGAGAAAATTATGCATCAAAGATTTGGCAATTTTGTCACACTTGAAAAGACTACCCAACCCTGCCCTAGGATATCCTCATTGTACAGCTGCCTTATCAACAAAATTATTATATTAAAAAATATAATCTCAAATGAAAAATAACTTTATTGTATTATGGGTTGCAAAATGTGAAAGAAATTAAATGTGAAAACAAGAGGATCTGCTAGTGTGAGATGAGTAAGATTACTGCACAAGAACACATATTCACTGAAGATACACTATTAAAAAAAGATGTGACCCCATTATTCACCTGGAGCAAATATAGTACTGTACTCTATACTAAATTTGTTGTATGCAGATTTTCTTCTAGAGAATGAGAGAAATTCATGTAAGGTACAGTAGGTCAAAGTTTTATTGGTATATGAAGGAAGACTGGCAAGAGTCAACAGTGATAGAAGTTATGGCGGTGGTGATGCAGAGGGAACTCGGCATGAAATTTGTGTAAATAATGAATAGCTGCACATTATTTATATGAAAGTAAGAACTGGTTTTGTTAGTTGTACAGCTTACAAGCCGTACCTTACAACAGGAAATAGGGTAACGATGACATTAATGTATTATGCATAATTTTTACACCCTGCAGAATGAGCATGAAATGCTTCAAATGTAACAAAAATATTAAAATATGACTAAAATATAAATAAATAAACACAAATCATAAAAGCTTTTGATTAAAATTAATTAAAGTTCCTTCAACAAATATTTCTCCACAAACAAAATACCACGACCTGGTAAACTAGAAAGGTGAACACTTATGTGATGAATGCAGCAGAGCACTTTTATGGCTGAATGCCAGCAGTGCAACATTCATGTGTATCTTCACTTGGGATTCTTTTAGTTTCTTCTGAAGGCTTTTTATTTGCAACAGCTTCAAGAAGGTCCTGCTGAGTATGAACTTCCACATTTTGAAGAACAATCTGGGATCCCCCTCCAGCTGTTGGCAATACAGCACCCTAAAACAGGAGTTATACTAAATATAATAAAAATACTAAGATACTTTCATTACTTATTATTTTAATGCAATCATTACTGATAATTCATGGTGTTTTTAACATTAAATGACACTAATTAATGATTTTTTTTACAGGACTTAATAATAGACATTTAATCATATTACCTGACTGCAATAACATTTGGCCCTCAATCTGCACAATTTTAGTTAATGCAAATTAGCACCTCTGAATATATTTTCGACAAAATTTTAAACTGTATTAGGATAGGTTTCTTATATACAGTATTTTTAATACAATTTCAAACTGTATACAAATTAGTACACGAGATTTGTGTAACCGAGTTCCTGTTTTGGTGTTCAGTGCCCAAATATCATTGACACCTTGTGACTTCGCATAAGTAGTTTTATTAAATTTTACATTACTGTATTTGTGGTGGGAAAGTCGAGGGAGTATCAATTGAAACTCAATATCTTCGACTAGGACACAAACAAGACTACACTTAGAACATCTAGTGGCACATAACAATTAAGGAATAAAGCTCTGATAAGTGTTTTACTAAATGAGTGAAAAAATATAGCAGTGAATGCAGATGAAAAGCTCCTTTCTGAGCAGGTCAGTTAACTGGTCCATTAACCACCGTGCTGCCCCGAGTTTATTGTGAAATTCCCCAGGTGCGCATGAAATAATGTGTTCCCCAAAAATTATTTTTTCGTTGTAAAATGATAAATTCCCTTCCATGAACATGTCTATGAAAAATATATACCAAATTCCACTTACTTTGGCCGTAGGGACGTGGACAAGGTGCGCTGTGACGTCATCAGGGCCTGGTCGCCCGTGTGTGAATTGCCCAGACACGGTCGCGCGGGCCATTCAAGCACCGGTTATTGCCACAAATATATTTTCAATTATTTGTTTTAAGTAATTCCAATGCGGTTTTATTTGTTTTTTTTTTTATCGTATATGATGCATATTTGTGTCATTTACAATATGTATACAGTAGAATGTCCATAATATTCCATGGAACTGTGATACATGTGTCAGTAAATGTGTCCACAATATATGTTTATTGTCACAATATTACTTGTTAAAAATTTATTAAAATTACAATATGTACAGTTTCACACACTATTAACACAGTAACACACTGTATTACACACTCAGTACTTCGGGAGTGAGTAATAATCAACGAAGTAGTTCATGGTACACAGCGCGACTTCGCTCTCAGTGCACCAGGTACAGATAAATTTTTGCTTCCTGTTTCTTCATTCTATGTGCTTGCAAATAACGCACTCACGTACACCCTTGGCTTTAGAACTTGTAGGTTGTATGTAGCCAAGCTTGTAAAGCATAAGGTAGTATTGAAAAAATTATAGGAAAAGATAAATTTGTAAGGTAGTCTTGAAAAGATCGCTTTGTATGGTCCCACACAGGAAGAGATTCAGCACGCCTCAAAGAGTGTCCGTCAGTCAGGAAGAGATTCAGGTATTCTTGAAAATATCTATAGAAAACACCACCATGGAAGCTGCTAACACTTCATCAATGCTACTTGTATCAGATGCATCATCACTGAATGCAGATAATGATTCATCTATGTATCATCTAAATAAATTGGAGATAGTATAGGATTGCAAGGATGACGCTCAGAGCTACAACTGGATACTCTTGCTGTATCGTCCTCATAGGTGCTGTATCACTTGCATCCGACCTTTGTGTTAGGTCCTTATTGCGCCTAGCTTAACCAATATTATGACTCTTATGTTCTTCAAACAATAAGGTTTGAATTTTACCACAAAGCATTATCTTTCAACACCGAGTTGTACAGGTGTTTGGGAGCCAGAGGCGTGTGCGCCACCCAAGGTTGCTCATTCAGTACTAACCCAGCCAGCAACCCTAGGGCATTCTGGGAATTTTTTCCAAGATGGCTGCCTCTCACTGGAGGTCCTAAGTACATTTTGTACACAACCAATCTTGCACACATTTAGAATGGATACGGAAAAATAAGAGAGAGTTTCCTAGGTTGGCACAGTTTCCCGCCGACCGAGAATACTCGGCTGGCGCAGTTAAGTGGTTAAGCAACGTACGTAAAAATATACGTAAACGTATACCATACGTAAAAACTTTAAATGGCTTCAGTAGGGGCCTCCAGACTTCCTGTGATTTCGGTAGAAAATCGGTTGTATGACTTTTACAAGTCAGCAGTGATCTAGTGGTAGAGTACACGACGAGCAATGCCAGGGTCGTGGGCTCGTAGGTTCTCACCCACCTATAGTAATAGTGGATTTTCTCAACTATTGTAATTGTACATACTGTAGCTACATTGAAATATCTCGGCAGGCTGGAGTTGGGACAACACTTAGTGAAGAATTGCCATTCATGTTGAGGTGGCGTTACTAAAGCTATGCCGCCATTACAGCAGGGTCCACTCACATGTTCTACACCAGTTCCATAATGACTGTCGAAACCTTCTAGTCAGATAAGAAGACTATAATTCACATATACTAACAATATAAACTAACCTTTTAATTATGGTTCAGTAAATTAATAATGTTAAACGTTTAATTACAGTATAACCAAACTTAATAATTATAACCCCTCCAATTTGTGTAGAAGGAATTTTACTGGCGATATTAAATTAAAAACAGTCCACTCCGAAGTTATAAATAAGCAATAAATAAAATTAGAATACAGTACAGTCCATTACAAATTAATCAGTGGTAAATTTCCCACCTGATGATCCTACAGGGTCTGAATGAATGAAACCAGATGTTCCCTCACAAATGCCACATTAATACCAGAAAACCTCCAGTCACTCAAGCACCAAAGACCTATAATACATGTAGTCACTTCCCCTTCAAAAATAATATGGGACTGTCCACCAATCAGGAGAAAAACAGAACCCAGTTCTATAGGTTTAAAGAACAGAATTCAGTACCAACACAATATTAGTTCCAGAACAGGAACAACATATCCTACCTTGCTTGACACACAAGGAGGAGGGATTGAGTAAACCTATGAAGCACCACTCACAGGGACAATTAATTGAATGCAATGTGAGCAAGTGGAGACATCATCTGAATAAGCACCACATGTTATTCAGAAAGAAAGAAAGAAAGTGGAGACATCATCTGAATAAGCACCACATGTTATTCAGAAAGAAAGAAAGAAAGTGGAGACATCATCTGAATAAGCACCACATGTTATTCAGAAAGAAAGAAAGTGGAGACATCATCTGAATAAGCACCACATGTTATTCAGAAAGAAAGAAAGTGGAGACATCATCTGAATAAGCACCACATGTTATTAGAAAGAAAGAAAGAAAGAAAGAAAGAAAGAAAGAAAGAAAGAAAGAAAGAAGGAAAGAAGGAAAGAAAGAAAGAAAGAAAAAGAAAAAAAAAAAAAAGAAAGAAAGAAAGAAAAAGACAAGAGATGTGTGCATTAAGCCCAGACTGGTTGAAGAACTTTCTAGTCTTGAAAGGTCCCTGTACCACTGAGAAGAGCCCAGACTGCAATCAAAGCGTTATGCAAGGAAAATAGAATGGTACACACATCTCCCAGGTGAAGAAATGATCACCATTACACAGTACAAGAACAGCAATGTCCTTGAGCATAACACTAGGGGGAATATGAATGAAGTGGTATAGGTTCACAGAGGTAAGCCACTACTGTGCACACCAACACTGAATTAAAAAACCACTTGCATGATAAAATACTACATATTAGGAGCATACATAAAGAAATTACACTAACATAATATATCAATGAGAAGGGAATTTTCAAGGGGAAAGCGCCAGCATATATCAATGAGAACGTTGACCAGACCACCAAAGCGATGAGTATTGTGACTCATCGCCTGCATATCAATGAGAAAATCAACTGGAGCTCTTAGGTGACTCAAACCTGTAACTAAGGGACTTCCAGCCACTTAACTTACCACAGGGGGCATAACAGGGGCATAACTGGCCAACCCCTCACAGTGTTCAAGAGAGAACTGGACAAGCACCTTCAAAGGATACCTGATCAACCAGGCTGTGACTCATACGTCAGGCTGCGAGCAGCCGCGTCCAACAGCCTGGTTGATCAGTCCGGCAACCAGGAGGCCTGGTCGACGACCGGGCCGCGGGGACGCTAAGCCCCGGAAGCACCTCAGGGTAACCTCAAGGTAACCACTGAATCACCCTGACATGCTAAAAGTTATACAACTAGGATTCTACTGAAACCGCAAAGTTTGCAGGCTTCTACTGAAGTCAGTCCAAGTTTTATGTATAATTCCAAAGCACTAGGTGTAGGCAATGTAGTTCATCCATGGTACGTTGCAACTTCAGATACTGGCTTCACTAAATTACTGGACTGGCTTTAGTAGAAGCCTCCATACCTGTACTTCCTGTGGATTAAGGAGAATCCCAGTTGTGTAACTTTTAGTAAGTCAGGGTGGTCCAGTGGTAATGTGAGCGGCTTGGAGTCCCTTGAATGTGGGTTTGAGTGACCTCAGAGCTCCATTTGATTTTCTTTAGACGCTTAGATAAAATATACAGAATCAACATTGTAGTGAAGGCACCCTTCATAATATGCTTTGTTCTGCTGATATGTAGACATTTGAAACTCCTGCTAAGGCAGCAGCTGGCATGTTGATAATGGGTGAACTGTTACCTTCTAAATAGGTAAACAATGCATATATAAACTCTTAAGTGCATTTTGTGGTTGGAAAACATCAAAATATAAGTGTTAAATATAAAAATTCAATCTGAACCTCTATAATGAGTTATAAGAAATATAATTTGAAACTTCTATTTGGCAGGAAGGGATGAATGCAAGGTGGAGTTGGCCAATGTGTGTGGGAGGTAGTGATACACAGAGGGCGTCAGCAATGGGCTTACAACTTTATTATATGTAAATTGTGGTATATTTGTACTTACTATAGAGTAATGCACGATCTTAGAGTGTAAAGGATTTATAAAACTATTATAAATGTCCCAGCTAACCCTGGCAATGTTTTGATTTCAACCTGTGTTTTAATTACTTTAATCTCTTGGTGAGGCTTGATGTGCCACCCACCTGCAGATATAAAGAATCCCCGCGTGTAATATAACCTACCTGCATCTATATCCAAGTAACCAATCCATTATTACAGTTTTCATTGTAAACCACATATAAGTTAAATGTTAAAAGCTCAAATAAAAATATTACAAGTTTCTCCTAACATTACTTTTATCCTGTCTATTGAGTTAATTTCTAAATTTGATTCTAGCAGTGAGAAGGAGGAGTTCTCCCAGGAGGACATGTTTCATTAGGTACAGTATTTTCTTACTGTTAGTCATTTGATAGCACTGTCCAGTATTCCTATGGAGGACCCAATATTCTCACACAAGCATTGTTCTATGTAATTAACATAGTAAGGCAGTGACCAAAAAAAAGCTTGTACGTTATACAATTTTCAATCTTGTGCTCTTACAACATTTCAAAATAACAATACTGTATTTCAAAATATAAACTTAAGTAACTGAATACAGTAACTGAAAACTGGTCCAATGTAAACTCTTCACATTGAACAGGAGCCAGGAAGTTCAAGAACTGACTGTTAGATCCACTTTAGTCAGTGGATCCTAAAGTGGGCATGGTGCTGTCCCCTGGTGGTAATCACAGGGACTGATTAGGCAACCCAGTTGGTAGTTAACAAGAAACTTTATTTGAAAGTCACATGATATCAGGTTAGGGTTTGGGAGGAACCTTTAGCTTTTATGGATTATTATGTTAATTATTATGTTAATTTTTAGGTTGGAATTATTAATGTCTCTAATAACTCCTTCAGCACATGTGTGATCCTGTGGGGATGGTTGAAAATAACTTTGTGGTAACATTGTATGTCAATCCTATCTGACTGTATGCAATACATGCCCATGAATTCAGTGGAATCTCAACTGAGGGAGCAGTCAAATTTAATTCTGAGCAGTTGATATTTTGCCTTTTTCTGGAACAAAACTTTTTCCTATACTATACTAATATTAATTTCACTCTGAACAAAAGTTTTCAAAAACACATTCCTTGCACAGATTAAGGGCCAACTGTTCTCCTCATCCTGCATTTCAAAAGGTCATAAGTACAAAGAACTCTAAAACCAATATACAAATCCAAATACCTTATAAATTTTAGTTTCCATTCCTCCATGACCATCTGCAGCTTGTGTTGATAGGCAGTAATTTGTGATAGTATCCTTCTTGAAATGCGTGCTCTTCAGTTTGGTCAAAGGTTTCAGATTCTTCAGTGCTGGCTGAAGTGCTGTTCCCATTGGCACCAGCTGTGAATACAAGTATGAGATAACAAAGCACAGATTAAATGCAGTATATGTTTATCTTTCTACAGGTGCTTATTTAAATATGCCATGCAAATAAAAATCTAACTGTTGACCAGACCACACACTAGAAGTTGAAGGGACGACGACGTTTCGTGACTTGAGAATGGTCCAGGACGGACCGAAACGTCGTCGTCCCTTCAACTTCTAGTGTGTGGTCTGGTCAACATACTTCAGCCCCGTTATTGTGACTCATCACCTGCAAAAATTTAACTCTTGGGGTCCCACCTCTTAGCTATTAGTACCTAAGAACAATACTATGAATAAAGATGCTTTCCACTACCTATGCTCCATCTTCCAGACACTTGCTTACCACACCACACTACATACAAGTAGTATCATATGCCTCCGATTCATTTGTTTCAGTTACCATCAGTGCCCTCTCATTTTGTTTTCTATATGAAAAGGACTGTTTTTGGTCCCCTCTACTGTCTCCACTTTCTCTATTCCCCTACATATATTATGTTGTGAAAATATCTCCTCTGGGCCTTCTCTCTTCAAGTGCCACGAGACTGATTTTCTGTAACATATCTTCATATTTCATCTGCTTTACATCTAGAACTCAGCAAATCACTGGATGTCCTCAGTCTTCCTGTGCTTCACTAGGTAGGAATTTATTGCTGGTATTTTATATTCTAGAGCAAAAATAATGTATGCTGTGTACTGTACAATGTTCTTAAAGAGTATGTACAGGTTTTAAAAATGTTGTTCACATGCTTGCAAGTTTTAAACAGGCTTCGAATGTTAATCTATTTACATGTATTTTCAGCCTTAAAGTTGATATTATGCCCATGTTCCCCCTTTTTTTATCTTTATTTGTATTTGTTCTCAACACTTTTTATTCTTTATGCTCAATTAGTATCAAGTTCTAGATATTAATGTTTTTCTTGCCCGAAACGCATTGCGTAATAGTGGCTTTAGGCATTGTATGTACTAGCTCTATCTATATATCAATCCATTAATGTAACATCACTTGTATGTATGTACCTTACCTGAATAAACATATTTTATATTTTATTTTATTTTTTCTATACCGAACTCCTTTTTATGTATTCTTTCAATTGCCTTCCTCTTATGCTATATTGTCATTTTGGCTTCCTTTCCCCTCTGACAATGAAAATTTAACAAAGATCTGCTATTATTAAACTCTAGTAGCCATTTGATTGCCTAATACTGCACCATATTACTTCCAGAAAGTCATTAGCATAGATCAAGAACAGCAACAGAAAATATTTTTCTTGGATACTTGTAAATACACAAAGTTTCAGTGTACAGTATCAATATTTTTTAAATAAAAGCTTAACATGCCTGCAACAGTTTGCTCCATAGGTGGTTCATTGTGGATTTCTCATGAGAGTGCCAATGGTGGACTAGGCCAACACAATTATGTTAAATAGACTTTAAATATGATGATTAATATTGCAATAATTACCTTCACAGGCAACTTCAATAATGACTGATGTCTATTGGATAAGTATTTTTAATGTACTGACATCACCTGGAGGTTTTATAACAGGTTACTGTATAAGCAAAAATGATGTGAACACCAACATCCTAATAAATAATGCAAGCGCCCCGCTTTCCTTCGGCCGATGCGAGCCCCCCGCATTCCATAAGCTGATGCGAGCCCCCCCCAGACTCCAGAGGCTGATCCAAGCACCAACCACACTCCAGACGCTGATGCGAGCCCCCGCCACACTTCAGCGGCTGATGCGAGCCCCCGCCACACTCCAGCGACTGATGCGAGCCCCCCTACACACACCAGCGGCTGATGCGAGCCCCCCCACACACAGCAGCGGCTGATGTGAGCCCCCTCCCCCAACACACTCCAGCGGCTGATGTGAGCCCCCTCCCCCCACACCACCGACTGATGCGAGCCCCCCCCCCCACTCCAGCGGCTGATGCGAGCCTTCCCCCCACACTCCAGTAGCTGATGCGAGCCCCCCCCCCACACTCCAGCAGCTGATGCGAGCCTCTCCCCCCACACTCCAGCGGCTGATGCGAGGCCATCCACACTCCAGCGGCTGATGCGAGTCCCCCCCCCCACTCCAGTGGCTAATGCGAGCCCCCACACACTACAGCAGCTGATGCGAGCCTCTCCCCACACTCCAGAGTGATGCGCACCCCCACACTCCAGAGTGATGCGCACCCCCCCACACTCCAGAGGCTGATGTGAGGAGCCCCCCCACACTCCAGGGACTGATCCGAGCACTCACACTAACGGCTGACGCGAGTGCCCCGCACTCCTTCGACTGATGTGAGCCCCTGCATTCCAGAGGCTGATGCGAGCCTCCTCACACTCCAGCGGCTGATGCGAGCCACCCCCCCCTCACTCCAATGGCTGATGCGAGCCCCCCACACTCCAGAGGCTGATGCGAGCCTCCCACATTCCAGCGGCTGATGTGAGCCCCCCACACTCCAGAGGCTGATGCGAGCCTCCCACACTACAGAGGCTGATGCGAACCTCCCCCCCTCCAGAGGCTGATGCGAGCCCCCCACCCTCCAGAGGCTGATGTGAGCCCCCCACCCTCCAGAGGCTGATGCGAGCCCCCCACCCTCCAGAGGCTGATGTGAGCCCCCCACCCTCCAGAGGCTGATGCGAGCCCCCCACCCTCCAGAGGCTGATGCGAGCCCCCCACACTCCAGAGGCTGATGCGAGCCTCCCACACTCCAGAGGCTGATGCGAGCCTCCCACACTCCAGCGGCTGATGAGAGACCCCTTCCCCATACTCCAGTGGCTGATGCAAGCCCCCCACATTCCAGCGGCTGATGTGAGCCCCCACACATTCCCGAAGTTGATATGGCGAGCCCCTACACACTCCAGTCTCTCTTGCAAGGCCCCCCTCCTCCCACACACACACACCAGAGGCTGATGTGAGCCCCCATTCCCAAACCAGACTCATCAAGCTTCATTGCTACGTCTTGGTGAGTAAGTCAGTATTAGTCCCCGTGGCATAGTAGTAAGATGCTCGCCTGGCGTTTGACAAGCGCTCTAGCCAAGGAGGATTGACTGGGTGCCAATCCTTAATTGTAGTCTCTGTTTAACCACCAGTAAAATGGGTACAAGGTTGTTAAACGATTTGGCGGGTCGTATTCCGGGAAATATTAGGATTAAGGACTTGCCCGAAATGCTATGCATGCTAGTGGTTGTACAAGAATATAAGAACTCTTGTATATATAAGTAAAAATAAAAAATAAATAAATGGTGTTACCCAGATGTCAAATATATCAGAGTGGCAGTTCAGTTGTGTTGTAACTGAGTAAATGTTATCATAGTGAAGCTAAGCTAATATCATTGTCAGATCTTGATAGTCTATAAATGGGGTTACCTTGAGGTTACCTTGAGGTGCTTCCGGGGCTTAACGTCCCCGCGGCCCGGTCGTCGACCAGGCCTCCTGGTTGCTGGACTGATCAACCAGGCTGTTGGACGCGGCTGCTCGCAGCCTGACGTATGAGTCACAGCCTGGTTGATCAGGTATCCTTTGGAGATGCTTATCCATGACGGTGATGACAGAAGATTTCTCCTTTGAATGGATAAAGCATATTTCCTTTATCCTCCCCTCAGAATGAGTATGGTTCCCCTCCCTCCACTTTCTTTCCCCTTGTGTTATGAATAGTGTAGCACTCCCATTCTTGTGTAACTATCGTGACACTAGATGCAAGATAAGTAAGCCTGCAATTAAGATTTGGAGTTACGTACTTCACTCCCTTATAGTAATTAATAGGTATATGCAAGGCTAAAAAATAGCAACTAAAGTATAAAATAGTTGAATACCCCCACTATACCTCTTTTCCCCCAACCGTCCATTCCCCGCATGTTGCACCCTGGGGCAAATCCAGGAAAATGATGCTACTGTAAGAATGACTCAACACTGATTAAATGTTACTTGAACATGTTTTGCCCGCTGGTATTCTTACATTTTGTAACCACAGTTTTCTCTGCAACATCTGCTGTCCTTTCCATATGTCTTAAACCCAACTTCACTTTCATAAATTCCTTTTATATCAATTACTTATCTGAGATATTTAAGAAGATTGAACCATACAAGTTTTTGATAAATGTGAGTGAGCATAATACTGTACAGTACACCATACACAGAAAAGTGAGTTGGACATTTAAATGTAGTCTCCAACAGAAAATGCTTTCTTATTACTAATCAAGACAATGATTTTTAGAGGAATATAAGAAGGAATCATATTTTTAGGAACTATTCATAACTAACCTGTTTTGGGCAATGATTTAACCAAGCACTATGATTGTCAACCAAAGACTGGTGGTACCGAAGGTCACATGCTGTTGGGCCCTGAATAGAAATGCAAGAACAATTATATATTTTACAATTTTTTTATCAAGTATACAAAACGACAGAACATATACGACAGTACACACTCGTCATCTAATTATTTGAACAGCAGAGTAATGATGTTTAAAGCTATGGAGATGGAGGAAGAGACTTGGCTGGGTGAATTCACCTTGGCTATAGACACATCTGGCAGGTTAGTGAGACTGAGCCACTACCAGAATATTCAGATTGCAAACTCTGTGACAAACCCTTAATGCATTCACTAGAACACTATATTGTTGAATGTGAAACTGTAAAAGCGTTTAGACCTCCTGGCCTATTATACCACCAACTGTGTAACTATTTCATTGTATCTGGTGTACTGGAAGACATCCTAACAATTTATCCAAAATTTGCTAGTCCATTTTAAAGAATGAAGAACAATTTTATTATATTATTTTTAAGTTGCATCTCTTATGAACCCATCCCTGCCCTTGGGTGGCAATGCACAACAGAAAGTTGATTTTACATATTCATACATTAAAACATTGATTGTAACCATTATATATATATATGTGCTTCAGCCTACAGTTTAAACCTATTGTCTATGACCCTCTGTCCTGTGTGACAGTGAATACCAGCATTATCCTCACTTTAATAAGACTTAATTGAAATCCTCAAATTAGGCAAAATTATAATTAAATTTTGTCAATAAAGACGTTAATAATAATAATAGAACCAAAAGGAAGAGACTTGGCTGCGGAGCCAAGAGGAAGAAACTTGGCTACGAAACCAAGAGGAAGAGACTTGACTACGGAGCCAAGAGGAAGAAACTTGGCTATGGAACCAAGAGGAAGAGACTTGGCTGCGGAGCCAAGAGGAAGAAACTTGGCTACGGAACCAAGAGGAAGAAACTTGGCTACGGAACCAAGAGGAAGAGACTTGACTACGGAGCCAAGAGGAAGAAACTTGGCTATGGAAATGAAGACAAGACTTGGAAGAATGGGGCTAAATATAACCTAAGAGGAGAAAAGATCAGAAAAACAATATAATAATGTAGAAAATAGTGAGGGTATATAGAAACTGGACAGAAATGAAATTGCCTATAGGAGACATAATAATAACACATGAGTGAAACTATAGGGTGGTGGTGGTGGTGGTGGGGGGGGGGGGGGTAAACAAGCTGAACCCCTAACAAAACTCATGCAGGGGGGGATACAAAAACCCCAAACTCTGTAGCAACAAACCCCGCACTGACTCCGAAACCCTCAGACGTTTGGGGAGCCAGCAGCAGGGAAAGGGGGGTTGGGGAAAAGGGCAAACCACACCAACTAAGGAAGGACTCAAGGGAGCAGACTGAACCAATGCCGAAGTGACGAATGTCCCCATGTCCGGGTCCTTAAAACCAAAACGGGGTAGCCCTGGGGCATTTGAGCGAGCAAACAACCTAGCACGTTGCACCAACAAAAACCCTAGCACACAACGTGACAGCCGTTTAACTCCTAATATCTCCTGAAGAAGAATGGGTAAATTTGACGATGAGCGGGAAACAAGTCTCACACGACTCCGAATCGAAAGAGTCATCGACTCAACAAGCACCTTGACGAAGGCAAAACAGATGATTATCACCCCTGAGATAAGGGCAAAGCTCGACCTTCAAACTCACACAAGACGAGATGGGACTCGGAGGACATATCCATATGCAACCGAGCCCTAAGGGGCGTTTCCAAGGCCTGCAGAGGGAGGTGTCCCAACAGGGACAAAGCTGGTTGCAATCCCATCTATTTACCGGGCAAACTGACTCCTGTGAAAGGATCAACCTCGAGGGACCAAGTGAAGGCTTACCAAACTGAACCTAGACATACCTAATGGGAAGCCAGGCAGCCCTCCACCAGACAGAAAAGAACTTAAAAAGGAACCCCCAAAAGTGCTACGCAACAACTGGAGGCCAGAGAGAGAGACTACCATTGCTAGTCACTAGGTATGCGAGCTGCGCAGCACTGTGAGCCCCAACCAGCAACAAACACTCCTTACCTAGGGCCAAACAAAAGCACCAAGACCCCCTCTGACCCAAAGGGTGAGGTCGATGCCAAGCGACAACAACCCCTACGAGTGAGAAAACGAAACCCAAGGGAAGAGAACACAGACCCAAGGGATGTACTTACTAGGGAAGATAACCGTAAGTACATGCAGCCCAAAGTACCGGAACTCCTGGCCAACGCCCCAACACACAGCAGGTACAACCACTAGGGTAAAACCCTGACAGGAAAATGAGGCCAGAGGAGACATCAGCCCCAGCCGGCTTCAGTCGACGAACTGGTGAGCAGCGGCTGACTCTGGTGGGTCGGGCCTCCCCTTTTCGGCGGGGAGTGGGAGTGGTGCGTTAGTTCGATGATGATTTGCTTGTTACCTTGTTTTTCTTGGGGGGGGGGGCAACTTTTTGGGTGTCTAACACCAGTCGATGGCAGACATGAATATACTCTCAAAGAGTGGAGTTTCATAGGCCATTTCTCCCTGCACCTCTTTAAGGAAACCAGGTTCTGGCTCGTGGTTCCCGGTAGGCAGAACTTCATGTGACTGAAGCCCCAGACTAATATAGCTAATATCAGTTGTTGCAAAACAACAATATAAAGAAAGAAAAGTTATAAAAGAAGACTCCCCTCCCAAGACTAAACCACGGCAAGTGAGTAGCCCGAGAGAAACGTCGGAGTGCCCATAAGCAGCTTGGTTAAGTGCAGGCTGTGAAAACCACAGTGTGCCCCACTAGCCAAACACACCCCAAAACCCCAGGTAAGACAAAAAAGCGCAAGACTCCCAGCTTACCTCAAGGGCGAAGACCACCCCAAGTGACGACGCCCCCTAAAGGGAGCGTTACCTGAATGCCCCAGGGAAGATAACCCTGACCATGCAAGGGTAGTACAGTACAGTACTCACAAAATGCACATGGAAGTAAACCCAGAGCTTATGCAACTCTGGTTCACTAAAACTCCTGGCTCACGATCACTTTGCGTGTAAAAACACTGCTGTAAAGGCAAGAAAATACCAAAGAGAAATGGGAAATAGGAGCCAGAGCAGCAACCCCACCAGGTAAGCATATCAGTAAAGAACTGAAGATGGTCAGCCCAGCCTCCCCACAATGACGGGGAAGGGGCAGGTGGAGTTAACTAGCAGGGGGCTAGTTCCATTAAATTTTGGTTGTGTCTTTTATTATTGGGGAAGTTCTCTTGGCATTCTGGGGGCTTTGGTCACATTTTTAAACCAGGCAGTGGCTTGTGTGGATTTCCCTATCTTTCTGGGTGCCTTCCGTGGTGATGGCAAAGATGATAATGGCTAATAGAATTCTATGGCTAATATAATTGCATTCACTTGGCTAATAGAATTTAATGTGAATAAATGCCATATTATGAAATGTTGAGTAGGAGAAAAAAGCCCACACACAACCTACAAGTTATGTGAAAAGGCTTTAAAGAACTCTGAGAAAAAATATCTAATAGTGGTTCTTGATTAAAAACTGTCACTTGTGGGCCACAAAGAACACTGCAGGCCACCTATGCTACGCTTTCCAACTTCAGAATTGGTTATAAATACACGGATGAAAAAATATTAACGAAATTGTACATGGTCTTTGTGAGACCAAAATTGGAATATGCAGAGGTTGTATAGTACCCATATCCCAAGAAGCATATCAATAAACTGAAAAAGGTGCAAAGACATTTAACAAAATGGCTTCTGAGACTGAAAAACAAGAGCTATAAGGAGAGGCTAGAGGTGTTCAATATGACAAAGATAGAAGAAAGAAAAAGAGGTGATATGATCAATACATACAAAATAGTAACAGAAATCAACATAACTGACAAAGAAGAATTCACGAAGTTTGGAACTTTATGAACAATTGTTCATAGATTCATGCTAAGAAAACAAAGATGGAAAAAAAAATACAAAGTACGTTTGCAGAGTGGTAGATGATTGAAACAAGTTACTTAAGGTGATGAATGCAAAAACTGTCAGTGGTGTCACAGTGTTGTATGACAGTACTGGGAAGACGGGGGACACCATGAGCTTAGCTCTAATCCTGTAACTACACTTAGGTAATTACATAGAAGCAATTTTTAAATTTCCCCTCACATCACTGTCACTGACATCACCTCTCATACCACTGTTGTTGAGACTGTCACACTTCACACTAATGATACTATCATTCCTCACTATTCCACAGGTGGAAACCAAAAACAAAAAGGAGACAGTGAGATGCAGTGCAAGGTCAGTGAGTCAGCGAGACGCAATTCACACTTATACTCAATGTGAATTGAAAACAAATAGAAAACACTTGAAACCGAAGTCGTGAAAACCATCTCAATTCATAACATCATGATTAAGTATGACAGTGCTAAAAGAAAGAGAGGTCTACATACACCAGGTACAAGAACTATGTGGCAAGGACCTAGAACTAGAACTATTTTCCTGTACAGTACATTCAGGTAAATGGAATTATCCTTCACACCCCTGCTACTCTCTCAACCATCCCATGGGTAACTACATAATACCATTGTTACTTTAACAATCAGACCTTGTATTACATCTCTGTCATTTAATAATAATATTGAATTACTGTACCTCCATCAATTCTTCCTCCAGATTATCTTAACAATGTTCGGACATTTCTATACCACTCTTGCCATTAAGATGGCTATTCTCACATGCAAAAGCAGTACCGTGTTATCAGCAAGAACCATAGCATCCACCGGCTGATTATATCTAAGACTTTATCTGCATCAGGGTCCACACAATGTTAAGTGGGTTGCAGATATTATCATATTAAAGTACATTAACTTACTTATATTTAATTTTGTGAAAAATCATACAAGAAACTTGACTACAACTTACATGATGGTTGGAATCTTCACTTGCAGGAGGAGGATTCTGTTTAGATGTAGTAGAGGAAATACCTTTTGGAGTGCTGGTGCTAAGTGGTGCATTACCGTGATCTTGATCAAATTCTTGTGATTGGCTTGAGAATGCAGGTATGACATCATCAACATTTAAAGCTTCTTTCAGTGCATGAACTTGTGCTTGATATGTCCTGTACTGCAAATAATAGATTTAATTTACTGTACTGTATGTTATTGACCATTTTAATATGTTAATGCCTAGAAACTTGCAAAAGTATTTACAAATATAGCCATGGTAATTTTCAGATTAGCATGTACAAGAACACCTTCCACACACATCCACAGATGTTTCCTTTTCACCCATATAACCTGATTTCTGATCAACACATTAAGAAACAAATTTTGCCTACTTTTTGGATAAATTCTATATTGTAATGTTAAAGAGCAAACAACTACTTTAGATAAAAACCAGCATATGACAAAATCAAATTCATATACTGTAGTGCATATTAACCTTAAGATTCTTTTCACGTTCATGAAGACATTTCATCATCTCATTTCGTAATCTTTCCGATTCGTCACGTAGTTTATTCTTCAATGCATCTTTCATCCTTTGCTTCTCTCTTTGTCCATGATTTTTTGCCAGATCTCGTTCTTCACGCTGAAATTTAAAGTCATAAAATCTTTTCTAAAGAAACTATCATATTATTGTAATGAAGGAAGACATGTGACCTCCAAACATTTGAACCCAATGCAATAAATAATAAAGAATTTTTTTTGTGCAATGCATCACTTCATATTTTCAGAGCAGAGAAATGACAGCAGTATCTCAATAATTACTTAAAAATTTTTTTTGCATATTTAAGATTCAAGAATCATTATTGTTATTGGCAATAATTTAACTCAGGAATATAGTACAGCACATGAATTATCACCTAGACAACTTGCTTAATCCTGACTACGCCAATTTTAATCTTCACTCAGAAATTTGATTGAGAATTAGGTACTTTCAACGTGCATTAATACTTTATTGCACCGCACACGCCCGACCCACACTACCCCGGGGCCTCAACGTTTCACAGGAGCGTGCGTTAATTCTGAAAAGTGTATACTGTTTTCAACTGTCACCTCAATTCTCGTCCAAGGTTTTTCAATTTGGTATCATTGTGTTTGTAATAGAATTCTTTACAGGACTAAAGGCATATAAAGTCCAAAAGCCCGTCGTATCATCCACAACAAACAGAGAAAGTGAGTGCGTGTTACCCGGGAGCACACAAGAGCGATAAAATGTGTACACTCTTTTCACTTTTGTTACCTCAATTCCCGTCCTAGGGCTTTCATTTTGGTATCATTGTGTTGGCAATAGAATTTCCAACAAGAGTATATGCATAAAAAGTAAAAAAACGCAGCGCACTCCACCCGCCGACAAGATGAAAGTGGCCCAGAAAGAGAGCACTATGCCACCCCAAGGCACCTCTCATTACATTAGAGAGCGCGGTAATACAGAAAAGTGTACTCTCTCTTCCACTCTGTCATCTCATTTCTCATCCTAGGTTTTTCAATTTGGTATCAATGTGTTTGCAATAGAATTCTCTACAAGACTAAATGCATATAAAGCCCAAAAGCCCAGTGAGACAGTGAGAAAGTAAGAGCGTATTATTACTCCATTCTCGTCCTAGGTCTTTCATTTTGGTAACATTGTGTTTGCAATAGAATTCCCTACAGGAGTATATGCAAATATAAAGTCCAAAAGCCAGGCGTACCACCCACAGCAAACAGAGAAAGTGACGGAGAATAATCCCAGTGAGCTCTAATAAAATGGGTATACTGTTTTCAACTTTGTTACCTCAATTCTGGTCCTAGGTCTTTCATTTTGGTATCAATGTATTCGCAATGAAATTCCTTACAGGAGGATATGCATATAATATCCAAAACAGCGGCGCGCCCCTCCCAAAGCCGCCGACGCAACGACGAGTCGTTACCGGAAATGCGTCTACTAAAAAAGCGATGCAATGCCGAGTCGTTACCGAGCGAAAGTGTTAAAATATTTCTTGAAGGCCTATAAGACATCTCATTACTTTGTCATATAATCAAACCCTGTTGAAATCTATCTGTTAAGTGTAAGTCATACTTCATGTAACAATACTTTAAATATTCATACTCGATCACCTTTATTGCCATTTTGTAAACACACAAACCCTTCTGTTTGAAGATCCAATCAACCCTATATTTCTTTCATTAAATGCTGTGTGTGTATATGAAGCACAGTGGAACCTTGTTTGAATGTACTGTAGTGGAATGGAACCCCCGTTTGGTGGGGTGGAAAAACTTGGCTAATGTACATATCCTTGGTGGACTGGATTATGATGACCACTTCAAGCATTCTTGGTAGACTAGTTTTCCTAAATTAAGAGCAAAGTATTGGCCCATTTTTAATACTAACCTTGAAAAGTTAAACAAAGAAGCCAGAAAATATCTAATGTCACCCAGGGAGCTATTTTAGGCAGTAAAAAAATAAATGGGCATAGTCAATAAGAAGTCATATGTCAGGTGCTCAATTTGGAAGTGGCAAGTTTCCATGAGTGATTAGAGGATGTTGAAATTTGGTTCAGAAGAGATGCCAAAAATGACATAGTCAATTAGAGAATAACCTCTCTAAACATCAAATAGCTCATCATCCATAATTTTTCATAGAAAATATTTGAGAAGAAGTTTTTGGCATGGGGAAGTAGACATAGGATTGGTTCATTTACACACAGTTACAGGATCATTGATGCTACCTTTGAAAAATAAGGTTAAGGAGAAGTGACATGGCAAGAAAGACAATGATTGTAAAAGCTCTCTACAGGCAGAATCTGTCAGTAGGAAGCCAGCATATGACAGATTAAAAAAATAATTTCTTTCAGTAAAATTTGCTCATATAGCATGGTAAATGGAGCGTATAAATGGTATCTCTTATAACCCTTAGAAAGCAGCTACAGTATGTAGAAATGTTGTGCATACCTGTCTATGCACAAAAAATACAAAAATTCCCAAAAATAATTTTTCATTATAGTATTATTTATTTGTATGCAAATTGTAAGAAAAACAAAATAAGTGAATATTTATCATTTCAGTGGGTGGAGGCTGCATCTGGCACTTGCCAGAGCCTGGTGCATGACTTTGCCAATACTTCCAGTTTTATCCTTGGATGTTTCACAAATTGTTTTATTACTTTTTTTTAATAATTAAATCCACAGAGAGCTATTATATCCATTTTTGTATCATACATGTAAAACTCGGACAATAATTTTTTAAATCATCATGTGACAATGACCGCCTTTCCCTAGTAACATTTGTGATATTAACTGCTTTTGTACCATGAAATGGTACGGGTAGCAGGCTGTTTTCATGGGTCAAGGTAAACTCCATGACATCCACATAGATCTATTATATACATATTTACATCATGTAAAACCCAGACAATAATGGTTTAAACCTTCATATGATGATAACCTCATTATCCTGTGAATCAACAACTAACAATGTCCACAGCCTAAGAGTTAATACTGCTTGAATTTTTTTTTTTAATAATTTTCCAAAATGGGTTTAACCTTAACCTTCGAAGTGTGGAATTCTCTCAGATCTGATGTCATCACTATGACACTAGTACTATACACCCCTATCATATGAAGCAGTCACTTGTACTGCTATGGATGATTTGCTGGAAAGATTTTTTTTTATCTTTAATCTACTTTCCTTTTCAATAATAATGACTATTAATATGTATATTTAATGCTTGTCATCCACTGTAAATGGATGGGTGGTCAATATAATTTATGAAGAAACTTTTTTTTGTAATAGCTGACCCCAATTGCCTTACTCCCTACCAGGAGCTCCCAAAATTGGGTTAATTAAAAACAAAAAATCAAATTACACCATATATTTAGTGACAGTAAGCAATACTTCTTTAGGACCATTTACATGGTGATAATACAGTGAAATTTCTTATTTACTTACCACTATGTTCAATTCTTCCACTAATTTATTATAATTTATTAACTGCTTCTGTAGGTTATCTATGGTGATCTCATCAGTAAATAGTCTGTCATTCATACAACGATTCTCTACCAAAGCATTGTTGTACAAGGCAGTCAAGCTCTTGTTTTCCTGCTTCAAAAACACATTTTCTTTCTCCATCTCCAGGATACGACTTCTTATTCTTTCTACTGTTGAATATAGGATGCATTTTAAACATGGATCAACTAGAAAATATTGTAAAAGTAAAAAGACAATACATTTTGTCTAGTGAAATTTAATAAATGCCATCTATTATATTAGAACTGATGATTTCTAATATCATATGTATTCAGATTCAGGTAAAATTCAAGTAAATTCTAGTAGAGAAACTACCAAAACAGCCGATTTTGATACATTATACAGGAGGCATCTGTAATCTCTCTACTGTACTGTATGTTGTTAGTGAAGAGACAAATTTGTAGACAAAGGTGCAGAAAAACACCAAGTGGAGAATAAACGCTAATTGTATGTGTCCAGAGAGGGGATTTTTGAGGTCCAACTCTTCTTGGGTGTGTCCCTCCCACCCCTCAAGAATCTGAACATCTAAATCATTTATTCCTCTAAACAACAACCAAATCTATCAGGCTTCACTGTGAAATTCAGATTTTATGAAAAAATTATGAATCCAGAGAGTGAAATCTGGGTAGGTAGTTTGTCACATAACAATTTCAATCAAACCAAATCTTTTTATAATATTTTTAATCTTGCTTTTCTGTCTGCAATTATTTGAAATAATGCATGTGCATTTTAACAATAAAAACATTTTATTTCATACATCTTACTCAAAGGAACTGGGTACCATATTTCAGTACAGCTCTGCTACTTCTCATTCAACATTATTTCTCAAATTATACAATAATTATCTTAAATGACTTGAAAGAAATGCATGTTATACACACACCATACTTACTTTTATCAGGGAGGTTGACACAAGTCTTCTCTCTATACTGAATTCTCATTCTCAGGTAGGTCTTCAGGGTGTCACAAAATTCCCGCCATTCATTGTCATTATAGTTTAGTGGGGGCCAAGCAGGGGCCAGCCTATAAATCATATTAACATCCACTTCCAAGTTCTGAAATTATTTGATTGGTTAAAAACTGGGTTAATATCCACTAACCAATTCTACGGGCTAAATGATTTGTTACATGCCAAAGACTATATTGTGTTTATGCTCGCACTAACAACATCCAATAGAAAGCATCTCAAATGGTTTTGTAACTCTGTATAAGTTGTGAAATACTGAGCCTCAGTATGCATTCACTGTTATACCCTACTGCTGAAATTGAATTTAACAAACCCCTTCAAATAACAGTTCACAAGACAGATCTGCAACCCAGTATTAATATACTGTATCTTGAATGGAATTATAAATATTGTGAAAACAATACATTAGAAATTATGATTCCAAATATGTAATGGTAATGTCTGTTTTCATCCTATTCCAAACATACTGTACTAGCAAAGAATTATTGTTAGAAATGTATTAATATACTTTATTCATTTTGCAAAATATGTTGACAGTATTGGGTAGTGCTAAAGTTATTTCACAGAAAAGGCCATGTTCCCATATACTGTACCTCGGGGTGTTTTCCTTTTATGTGCCTCACTAACCTCAAATTCAAGGCAACATTTCTTACCTATGACCTTATAAGAGGGTTTCACTGCGCTTCAGCACAGATGGTAAACAAATAATTTGTTAATGATAAATAATAAGATTAATAATTATAACAATAACAATAATAAACAAGGAAATCACATTTTTTCAGCGATGATAGATGAGCTACAAACTCGGTGAGCTGGGAAAGGACCTGGCTTAGCAGACACGCAACCAACTGGGAACCCCACACCAGCCAATTTATTGAAGTGGCCAAAATACAAACCCCCAACAACAGAACACCAGCCACTGTTCTTAACGATGACAATGCTGGGTTGCAGGGTGCAGTCCATTTCAGGAATTTGCTGGTTGGCCGATATTATCCCCGGTGTCTTCCTTCGGCAGCGCTCGGGATGCATTCCACCAGTGCATTGTGGTGCTGTTGTAGGCCATTGAGCATCTTCAGGCAGTGGTTGAGGACATGTTACAGGGTCTCATTTGGTGCTGGCATTGTCTACATTGCTTGTTGATGTGGTGGTAAAAGCATCTTGCTCCAATGAGCAGCAGCAGTTTTAGTTGCACACAATGAATGTCAGCCAGTCAGCAAAGATGGTGTATGCTCAATCTTTCATGAATGAGGACGATGTTCGTTCTTATGCGACCGGCTTCATGACTTTGCCTTAGTCTGGCTTTGCGTGTAAACTTTCATCTCAGAAGCTTCGGTGGTGGTTTCTAATATTGCGTGCCACTATCTTGCCAGTAGGTCTGAGGCATTATGGCTGCAACTGGCATATATTTCTCCATTTGCTTCAGAAATCTATCTCCACACAGTATTTGAAATACAACTCCATCGGTGCACCAAGTAGCATGCATTCTTGCTGATGCTTTTCGTATTTTGGACCAGACTGTTACATGGTCCACTGCGTTGTGTGGCATTTCTTTAGAGAGGCATTTCCACAGGTTTTCAATGTCAGCGTTCTCACATAGTCCCTGATACTTCTTGGAGGTAGTCTTCACTTGTAATGTTTTTGGTGTGGTAATGAGTTTGAAGGCCGAGTCTATGAGGAACACATCCGAGTCCTCTGTCGCAAGTGGGATGCCACAGGAGCCTGCTGCAATGCTCTCATACAGGTAATCATTGGTGGCGTGAGTTGGCAGGTATTGAGTTGACGTTATCAATGGGCGTAACTTTTCATCCAGTTGCTGCCAGTCTCCTTTCCATAGCTAAAAGGTTCTCATGGAAAAGACTATGGTGGGGAAGATGAAGGTGTTTAGGGCAACTATGCATTGCCATGGTGTTAGTTTGCTGGTAAGGATGGTTTCACCCAGCTGCCTGAATTCTTCTATAATCCTATAGTTTGGTAGGGATGTGGAATCATATTGGATGGCCAGGAACTTGATTTCTCCATCTTGCATCTACTTCTGATGTCTGTTTCTCCAATTTTGAAAACTGTCTCACTCATGCCTCTCGGCCACCATCCTGACAAGTGTATTGAAGAGCACTTCCTTAGGTTTAGTGTAAGCCTCATTTCTTCACATGTTGTGGCAGTGTTTATGAAGTTTTGTAGGCCATCCTTTGTTTTAGCTAACAAGGTCATGTCAGCACAGGACAAGCATAGGTTTTTGAGGCTTAGATCAGACTTAAATCCAGCATTTAATGCTGCCCTCAGGGGGTGATTATTGCGATGTTGAAGAACAGGCTGCTAATCAGGCAGCCTTGATGAATTCCACAGTTTGCAGGGATCTCTTCAGCTTCTCCACTGGTGGTCATGATTCTTGTGGTGTTCCCTCTTGTTATACCACAAATGATATCTAAGAAGTTTTCTCCTGCACCTGACTGTTGGAGGGAGGCTTCTGTCAGCTCTATTGGTATGGAGCCGAAGGCATTGGTGAGATCCAGTGATGCAATTCAAATGTCAGTTTCCCCTCCCTGCATTGTCTAGGGTAGTGCTGGAGGTTTTCTTAAGGTTATCTTGAGATGATTTCGGGGCTTTAGTGTCCCCGCGGCCCGGTCCTCGACCAGGCCTCCACCCCCAGGAAGCAGTCTGTGACAGCTGACTAACACCCAGGTACCTATTTTACTTCTAGGTAACAGGGGCATAAGGTGAAAGAAACTCTGCCCATTGTTTCTTGCCGGTGCCCGGGATCGAACCCGGGACCACAGGATCACAAGTACAGTGTGCTGTCCGCTTGGCCGACCGGCTCCCTTGAGAATGAAGCTGTGCTCCAGCACTCCATCTGTTGGCATGAATCCCTTATGGGTCAGGCATAGGACTAAATTGTGCACCAGCTAGTCCTCAGGCAATCACAGGCACCTTGTGTACAGTTTGTAGATGGTTCGGCACAAGGCAATAGATCGCAAGTTGCTGATGATCTGTGGGTATTTATCCTTGGGTAATAGGATAGTGAGGGGTTGTCTTCCATGCTTGTTGTATCCTTTTTTGCTTGAGACAGTGAAAATTGCAGTGATGACTCTGCATTCTGGATCTGCTTACTTCCAGTTTCTGTTTGTGACTCTCTCAATCAACTGGGGTAATGTTTTCTGTTCTTGAGTCATATTTCTGCTTCGGTTTCTGTGAAAACGCACCAATGTTGGGCTCAGCACGGTCCTTAACCCCACTCATCTTTCACTCCTTCAACCCACTCCCCGAGAGTGGGTTGAAGGAGTGAAGTGGGAGTGGGGCAAGGGAGTGGCCTTGGGTCTCGTAGGGGTGGTTGAGCTTGGAGGGTGTAGGCCTCAGTAATGTGTGTCAACTTCCTCTCCTGGAATCTCAAAGCGAGCGGCCTCCCCAATGTCTGTCAGTCTGGCTGCTCTTCTTCGATTCTGCTTGTACAGGCATTCGATTGCCTTGCAGTCATTGGAGGGTGTAGGCCTTGGAGGCTGTAGGCCTTTGATTATCCATTGGGATATGGAAGTGTCTGAATGGCCTCAGTGATTTCTTGAAGCAGCACAATAAAGCTGCCCTGTCAGGGATTCGTAGTATGGCTTTTAGAAAGACAAAGAATGGCTCCAGAATACATTCTATTGGTGCTTGCTCAGGGGTTATGTCTAGAGGATATTGTTGTTGATGATCTCCTTATGGGTCGTAGTCGTGGTGTTGTGACTTATCACTAGTGTCAGGATTGGAGGCTAGGGATGCCTGGTCTCCCTCACCAGGCTCTGGGGGTTCAGGTGAGGTAGTGTGGGGGGGAGGGGATTGGATGAGGGGACGGAGGGATTGGATGAGGGGGACAGAAGGGTTAGTTTGGGGTGAGGAGCGGTGATAGGGGTTAGGGGAAAGAGTGGGGGGAAAGGGTGGTGCATGATGTGAGGGTTGGTGTGGGAGTGGGGATAGGTGTAGTGAGGGGGTGAGGGACTGCACGAGGATGGTTGTGAGTGGGGTGAGGGACTGCATGAGGATGGTTGTGAGTGGGGTGAGGGACTGCATGAGGGTGGTGGTGAGTGGGGTGAGGATGTGGCAGGTGGTAGGATGATTCGGGTGTAGAGTGAGTTGAGGCAGGCGGCAAGGATACAGTTGACCTTCGATGCAAACCGTACCGGACGCAAAATTAATTGGATTAACTGACATTAGATGAAAAAGTCTGTGGGAGTCCCATCTCATCCTCACCATTTAGTCTCTACAGCCAGGATGACTTCCTACTCCAGGCCTCTCCTGCAAGCTCGACAGACAGCATCATGTCTACACGCAGCAACACCATGAAGAAGCCCAGTAAGACAGCCCATCCTCTTGTTTTGTTAGTACTTATAGGAAGCATGAGGACCATAGTACATATACCAACGTACAATGCAATTAGAAAGTAGAAATTGGTACTATTGAATTTGGACAGACTGGAAAACTATTTTCTACTTATGTTGCAAACACAAACTAAACTTAACCAAACCTTCCTAGGCCTAATGCATGCTATCTGAGGCCTAATATAGTACACATGTATGCTATACTAGGCCTATTTAAGTTTGTGTTTTAGTTTCAATTGTTCGGACTCTTATAAAGTGAATAGTACAAAGTTCTATCTAATTGATTAGAACATCGATCTTTGTACTATGGTGCACATTTACAAAAACTACTGTCTAAACAGGAGGATGGGTCGAGTAAAACGATGATGTCCTAGGAAGGACATCGACCTGTCCATCCACAAATCAACAGGTATCCGTTATTGGTACTGGTAATGGCTCCTAATGGCCTTCACTTACAAGCTATTCGTGCCTGTGCCACCTCTTGGGTAGCCTAATCTTTATCAATCAATCGGAGGTCAGGGTGTTGAGGTGCGGGCCTTGGTGGTGGAGTGTGGGATGGCGGTGGTATATCTGGTGCTTGTTTGATTGTTGGCCTGTGCTTGCCTGGCGTATGCGAGATTCTTTGTGTTCCTGCATCTTGGGCCTGAAGGTGCATGAAAGGTGCAATCTCAGGCATTGCACTGGAACATTAGAGGCTCATCTTCTTGTGGTCTCAATGCAAGGATTGTTTGTAGTTGTGCAG